CAGCGCGATGCAGCAGCGAGCGAGCAAACGAGCGAGCTTGATGACTGTATTAATTATGTATAACTAGACGCGCTGCGGATACGCGCGCGCGTCATCGATCCCTCCAAATTTTCTCCTCTGCGGATAACTTTGCGCTGTCACGAGTATGCGTAATCTCCGCGCGAGGACTTTTCTCATCGGCGGTCAATGCGAGACTTACACGCACTGTGTGCAATCGGACAAGATCCTGTGAACCTTGAACCTTTTCCATTCACCGTTGCACCTTGTCCAGTTCCAGATCCAACTCGCCGTCCAGTCGCGTCTCACATCGCACTTCATTTACTTCATTTCTCTGCACTGGCGAGCGCGATTATTTCAGCTTGACATTTGATGATTTATAACGGTAGATACAGCGAGCCCCACATACATTTCGGGCACACTGTTCGACTTTCCCAGGACGAGGACCATTCGATCTCGCAGACGATTTGATCGAAAAACAAGCTTCTTGCGTCCCTTGAATCCGATGCACCTTACGGTAATATCGCTTTGCGCTTCTTCGTTCGCTCGGCGCAAAAAAGCACCTGACCAAGTAGAAACGTAAAATATAACTACGAGAAGATAAAACCGGAGAAACGAGAGAATAAAAGTGAAAGTAAGATCCACGTGGAAACGTGGATAAAATTAAAAGCGTAGAAAAAATGAAACTTCCTTCAGAAAATTTCAGTAAGGGGTGGTAAAACTCTTCCGGGGGAGGGGGGAGGGAGCGCGCGATGCATCGATATGCTCGCGTAGTGCGCGCCGTTGCGCGCAGGAATTTTTTTCCCCGGCTTTCCGGGGTTAGCGTGTGCATATCCGCCGGTGGGCTCATTATCCCCGGGGCGTGGGAGAATCGCGCGGGTTTTACGAGCGCGATGACGCCGGCGATGTGACATCGCTCGCCTCCGGGCGCAGCTGTGAATGCAGTTACGCGGTTAGCTGCGTGCAACCGTGCGCAGCACGATTGTGTGCGCGTAATCGCGCGAGCGCGAAGGAACCGATGTTCCACGACACATTCTCGCCGATCGACGTCACCCCGGGGGCGAGGAGGGGCGGGGGGGTGAAGCGAGTTGGTGAGGCCTCGTTTAAATTCGCTTGAGGAAACGCGCCGCTTTGTTCCGAGAAAAATTCGCCAATTCGCCGTAAATTGCGCGCGTGAAGACGCACTTATTGTCGCAGGACGCGTGGCCCGACATACCAAGCGCGCCTCTCGGCCTCTCGTGCGGGCAGGATGTGAGCGGACAGGAAGCCATAAATGACACCGATACGTCAACAATTTATATCTCCGCGTGGGAAAAATAGAAGAAAATGTCACCATGTGTTATTGGTATTAATGCGCGTCTAATCAGCCCTGCGTCGCCGGGGTGGTCGACGCGGGCGCGCGCAACAATCTTAATTTATTACTCCGCTGCGATTATGATATATGAAAAAAAATTCTCTCGCTCGCTCGCTGCAGCGCTTGCCAGTCGCGGAGACCGGCTGGAAAAGCTTCCAGGCAAAATTCCCTCTCAGATGTACCTACTATATGAATGTAGACGCGGCGTGGCGGCGGGATTTACTGCAGATGGAATCTGTCATTATCGGCGCATGCATCGGTTGTCGAGCGTACATTAGACGCACTCGACGCACTCGCGAGGAACTCCGTTCGGGAAAGGAGAAGGAAGGAGGAGGGGGGAGAGAGAGAGAGAGAGAGAGAGAGAGAGAGAGAAAGGGGAGAAAAGAAAAGAGAAAGAAACGTTCGCGGGAGAAAACGTCGAATTAAATTTACAACACGTCCCCCGGGCACGGCATTATGATCGTGCAACATGTAATCTACCGGACGAACGCTCACGTGGCGAACACGCGGCCGTTCCCAGAAGGATTTCCAGGCTGCATTGTCGCGCGATGCCTCGCCGTGCGGTTGCCTTTCCTATTTTGTTATGCTAATGTCTCTCTCTCTCTCTCTCTCTCTCTCTCTCTCTCTCTCCCGAGGCGACACCGAGAGAGGCCCGGCTCATCAAGCATATTAATGGCATTTAAAATGCCACCGGTCGTCTCGCCCGCGCGGGAATCTTGAATTAGTCAAATTAAACTGCCCACTTTAGCCGCTAACTCGTCACTCCTCGGCGACTGCTGTCGTCGTCGTGCGACGGCGACTTCTTCGACATCGCGGACACGTCGTTGAAGCTATTGCATTTCTCCATCGGTCCGGGCTATTATTGATTTATACTTTGACTTTTGGCCGTGTTATTCTCTCGTTAATTAATTCGAGAGAGAGAGAGAGAGAGAGAGAGAGAGACACGACGCCCCGAGTTACGAATATCGTAATGTCGTGTGCATTCTTCATTATGTATTCCGCGCTCTCTGTGTGCGCACAAATCATGGTCGCGTCGCTCGGAAACGGTGAATCGACTCGCATTCGTGTCGATTCACCGTTTCCCGTCAAAGTCACGAACTTTTCGGCTCCGTAGCTTAACGCGACGGGCGGGATAAAGTGAAGGGGGCCCCGCAGTTTAGATCGGTGTAAACGCCGGATGACCGCGAACGACGCGGCCGGCTATTTTTGTGTCGTCCGCAACGGGAGCCACAAAACGGCGCATTTTAAGCGACGGTGCACTTGTCGCCGCCGCGAATCTCACGTGGAATCGTCGAGGCTGTTTGCGGCGAGAATTCGATTAAACGCGCCTTAAACGGCCCCCGCGCGACTTTTTACGACGGACGACGAGCGGAGCGGCGACACGAGCGCATTCGTCTGGTTTACATCCAGCAAAACGAGCGGAGAGAAGAAACAAGAAAATTGCGCGCCGCTCGAGCGGCGGTGGAGCGACGGGTGAAAATTCGATTTCGAGGCTTCTATAAAAGTAAACGTCGAGCGACGAGCATAACGACTTTCGAAGACGACTATCACGCCGCAGCCGACGTATATTTTCGGAGCAGACGTGAATAACTCGGTGACAAATGGATAAGCGGCAGGTGTCGGTGACTGAAACTGATATCTAGCCAAACATTCGTAATATATTCTGTAATAGGAGAACGTCTTCTCCCGCGAGGAGAAACAGAGAGGAGACGAGAGGGTGACACGCACACACACACACACACACACGGGCCACCCTCTTGTTTGCTTAAGAATGCAGACGATCTTCAGCGCGACTGATATCCCCCGTCCGCGACGATACGACTGTAATTACGATTCTTTGTGAGCGTCGTGAAACCCTGAACTATGCCGGGCTCTGTAATTTTACGAGAGAGCGTTTCGGGCCAATTTGCATAAGAAGGATCCTGCGACACGCGTGCGGGAGGTACGACGAGTGTTTCTTATCTCTCGAACGTTGTGTCGATCGTCGAAGAAAGTGCACTTGTACGCACGAGCGTACGTGCGCAATCGGAATCGAACGATTTCTCCGAGCGAGGCGGGAGAGGAGAATGGCGAGAGAGGGACCCAATTTGCCGCTGATTGGTATCTATTAACTTCGTTCGCGACGATTGAATTATTTCGGGGCGATTTCCGCACGGAGAGCGGCGCACGACAGAGAATTCGATTAAACGAACTCTTCGACCTACTCGAGTTTCATCTTTCAAATCGTCAAAACTGCACTTGCACATGAGCTTGCACGTACACACACAACGGTATCAAACGATCCTCTCAAGCGTGGCGAAAGACGCAGAGCGGGAGGGAGGGGGGCAAGAGAGGGCCACAATTTGCCGGTTAATTGGTATCTATTAACTTCATTGTAACGCAATGCATATATATATATATATATATGCACCGCCCGGCGGCGTGGCCGGCCTTTACGATTTCAGTCGCCATTCAAGAGATCCCTTTCACGTACACACGCGCGAGTCACTTTGATCGGACCCGCATGTTAACCCCGTAAAGTCGTTAAATATCCTTCACGTCGAACGCGACAGAAGGAACGCGCTCGTTCACGGCCATTCACGTCACGCAGAAACGCAGAAACCACCGCGCGTTCTCTCCGCGCGGCGCGTGCAATTACGTCGCGAACGTCGCGAAGGCGAATTGACCGGCGAACGAGTACGCGATTGGCGATCAGTTCGGAGGGTCAATCGATCGTACCTTTCGGTGATGACGAGCTTGTCGTGGCTTGTCGTCAAGTACGACAGCCAGTCGTCGGAATAACTTGTTCGCTTGTTCGATCCGAGTAACACGCCCGAGACAATTCCCCTCCGTCGTTTAATAATTGAAGACGCCGCCGGCGAGGAAGGGGACGCACACGGAACGTTCCTCGACTGCACGCCCGGCCAGCTACCAGCGGAAACCTTAATATTTAGGCGCGAACCGAGCGAAAATACGACCTTCCCGTCGAGCAGGATCTTGAGGCGAAAATCCGGGACCTTCCGTCGCGTTTTGTTGCATCCATTATTTCAAGTATTTTCCTCGCGCGCGTGCGCGGGCACGCGTGTCATGGAGTCTCGCGGTAATTGTTGCCGAGTTGTTGTGTCGTATATAGCGATGAATATGAGATGACATCGCGTCTCGCGGTCTCGCGAAGACGAAGGTACGTCGCGGTCGGCTTACGTCAGGTAATCTCGTGAATTTTTACAGCAGTCAGATAAAGCAACGGCGCGACCAACCGCGCTCCTCCGTCCCTTTCTTTTTTTTTTCTTTCTTTTTTTCTCCACGTCGGATTTAGCCGCAGGATGCACTGTACGTGAGGTCCTCATGTGGGGGGGGGGGACAGTGCAGTTTTGACACATCGTACGTGTCCTCATCCGAACCCACGACGAAAGGGGATCCTCTCCATTCCTTCTCTGCGCTCCGCGCGGCCACTCTGCTCCTCTCATTCTGACGTAACGCAGGACACGCAGGCGTCTGTTTCGTGTCAGCGGGAAAGCCGGAGGAAAGATCCTCGACTGCGAACACGCGGTCCTCAGCACGGGCCATAGTTTCCCCACGTGTGCGCTTTCAACTTGCGTATACGCGTGTGTATGTGTGCATAAAATGACGAAGCTGAGATATCTGTTTTCTTTTTTTCTGTCTGTTGCAGAGATGTCCTGCTGTTCGCAGGCTGCTGGATCCTGTCGGAACGTGTGCTCCAAGGTATGCTTTCGAAATAAATGCGACGTACCTGCGCGCACTCCGCCGCGTGCTCGCGGGAATCGCACGGAACGCGCGCTCGCGTTCCGTGAATAAGCGCAGTTAGGGCGGTTACGGGCTGCGCCCGTAAAACGTCCGTCGGACCCACGCTCGCGCGTTCTCGCTTGCATAAAGTACACAGAGTCGACGAAGGCGCGCCGTATATTCGTACTAATTATATTCCCGCGCTCGTCCTTTAATTATTACGTAGCTCACGCTGGTCACTCTTTCCGTATTAATTGCACCGAGCGGCGCTCCCCCTCGGGCTGTTTCGGCGGAGACGCGCGGTATCCGCAAAGTCCGAGATCTCCCCGTAAATCCAGAATCAACGCGGAAAACAGTGCCGAGCGAGAAGAGGGAGGGAAAAGGGGGAGGGGGAGGGGGAGGAAAGGTGTACAAAGAGAGGACCTTCTCACTGCGATAAGAAATTAGTCACGGCCGCGTGTCAGACGGAACACAATCTATTAATTATGTGTCGGGAGAAGCGCCCCGTGGGAATGTCAAAAAGACAATCTCGACTCGGTGTAATTCCGTGAGGAAAAGAGGGGAGGAGGGGGGGGGGACGGAGAGTGAGGGCGAATGCGATATCGCGCCGCTGATAAATATCCGCAGGCCGACCCCGGGGACGATAAAGGACACGAAATATGTCGTGTCCGCGGATATATTAGGATTCGAGAAATAAAGGAGAAATGACCGGCGGAGAGAAAGAGAGGAGAGAAAGGGATAGTTGAAAAAAGGACGATAATATGTGGGTACCTCGTTGCTGCCTTCGATGAGGGTTTCTCGACGTGGGGCGCGTCTCGCCGCTGCAGCTTCTTTAGAGGTAACTGCGGGGGCCTCCGCTTCGGAGATAATATCGGGGACACCGGGGGCCCGCTGCGAGATTTACGCGGGGTCCCTCCGGGGCGCCCCGCGGGCTCATTCATACGCAAATATTACGAATTGACGCGTTGAACACGCGGGACGTAGCGCGTGTTATCAATGATATCGTGTGCGTCCCTGTGCGTTTCGTCCCGGGCGGAGGGGAGGAGAGGGAAGGAGATACGCGTCGTGGGTGCGGATGCGTCCTCCTGCGTCGATTGCCGATCGCGGGGGTAACGCACGCGCGCGAGGACCTCGCACTCGCGCGAGAGAAGTTGAAGGATGCGCGGATGACACTCGCGCGCGGACTCGCTCACGACGCGCGCAACGTGCGCGCGAAATGCGATACGAAAGTAGGAATCGTGATGAAATCGCGTTGAGTCGCATCTCCGGGTGCTTTCACACCCCCGCGCCCGCGTTTATGGCGCGTTTACGATGCTGTGTTCGTTGTATTTGAGATATGGCAGAGCAAGGCAAAGTAAGGCGCAGAAAGGATCCCATGAGAAAGAGAGAGAGAGAGAGAGAGAGAGAGGGGGGGGGTAGGAGAGGAGAGGGAAAGAAGCGACGCTCTTTCTCTCCCTCTTTCTCGGGATCGTCTTGCTTGATTACTGATGAGCGCTTCCTTCCACGGCGTGCAACAGCGGAATAATCGGAAATTGTGACGGAAGCTCCGAGTTATGAGCGACGGGTTTATTCCCGAGATGGACGCGAGAAAGACGTTCTTCGTCAAGAGGAGAAGAGAAGCGCGGCTTTTTCGTCACTTTGCGGGACGGATATATTCTCATCGCTCGAAAATATCTTCTCGTCAACATCATAAAATAAGCTCTCGATATGACGGGCTTGTTTCTCACTTCACTTCGCCCGTCGCTTCGCTTCTCCGCGCGTTTTTGCCGCCGATAATCAACGTCGTTGTGTCTTCGTCGTCTCGTGCGTCCGAACAAATATAAAAGGCGCATAGGTATTTTTGCAGCAAGAGCTGCACGCACGAAACGACTCGGTTGCATCGGTCACAGAGCATCACCGGGGCTGACTGCCGATTTAATTAGTCGACCGACACCGGGTCGTTTGCGGCACCCGTGCAGTTCGGCAAATGGGAGCGCGCGGGGCAAATTATGAAAGCTCGCGGCTCTATTTCGGTATCTTTTGATCTCGGCTTCGGAGGCCTCGGAGGCCGTCGAGCTTGATTTATCCGATTGAGAACGTATGAGCTTTGAAGCGGCGTTTGTTTCGGAACTTTTGCGAACAATTATATATCGCGCGCGCGCGCGCGCGCGCACACACATTGATTGTAATGAAATTAAAAATAGAGAGAAACGCGGCGGAAAAATTCCTTTTTTTTTCCCCGTCGCGTTGCTTTGTACGGTCGCGCTTCGTTCTTGTAAAAGGGAGAAAAAAGCGCCTGGGGCATCCCGTTAACACACACGTCGGCGGATAGAAACATGTGCTCGCACAGCGCGAAATTGTCGTCGACGTTGATAAAACCGCGGCGAGAAGTTTCGCGAGTGGAAAACGCACCCCCTTCGATACGCGACGACGAGGCCCGGCTGCGCATACCTCCCAGAATACACCGCGACGGAAATACGTACGTCGTTTTCTCAGCACTCCTCGTCACTCACTCGGCCCTAACATTTATAACAGTCTAATCCAGCAGAGGAGATTCCGAGGCTGTCGATTGAGATTGCTAAATTGTTGCACACGTGCAAAACTCATTTCATTCTGTTATTCCATACGACGAGGAGATTAACAATGTTACAAATTAACGGATTTGTTGTACGTCAAGGGAGATAAAAATATACAATCGATCAGACCGACATAATTATGAAGGGTGAGACGCCCGGTGGATTAATTATTTATCAAACCGGTATTTTTGCGGGGATCTCGACGTCTCTCTCCTTCGAGTAATATTAATTATCAATTTAATTGAATTTCGGTGAGCCTTATCACGTTAATATTTGTTGAAATTCGCGCAAGAGTGTCGGAAACTGGCAGAAATGTTGCCGGACGCTTTAGCCAATCTCCCTGACGCACTTTTCTTGACAATCGCGCGAGCGCGTTGTTACTTGGACGAAATTGCAACATTTAGTTGCAGCGATATTGCGCGTTTATCGCCTCGTACAACCTCGTATAGCAATAAATGAAATTCAAAACTCACCGTCCCTACCTACTGAGAAGCACGAACGGGCCGGCCGATAATTTATGTCCGCTGTCGAACACGACCTTTGACTGGGCCTATCGCCAAGGCCCGCCAAGACCCACCGCATGTTGATGGATGGCCCGTAACTCGCGACCGTGATGGACATACAGGATGGATCCGGCGTGTCCTCGCCGAGGGTACCGATTGAATTCGGAATGAGGACGAGATGCGCGCGAGTGTACGGTCGATATCTGGCAGCGAAGACGATTGTCATTCAGTGACGGCCAACAGGAAATCGCGGGGACCGCGCGCTGCATTCGTGTCCTTGATTCTTAATGACCGCTAATGCGCCGCTCTGCATTTCGAATTTCGACGGTCTCCGCCGCGACGTTGACGCCCCGTTGGAATCCGTGGAAATTGTTCCTACGCTCGTCGTCATCTCCGGTCGAATCTCCGAGATAAAATCCGTCGCGGTGACTTCCGCTCTCTCGCGTTTCCCAGTCGTGTCACGACTGTGTCGCAGGAAAATTTTGTCATGCTTTCAGATCTCTTTGGTGGTGCTGGGCGCGGAGACCGAGGCGCGGGGGAACGCCACTCAACGGCTGCTGGAGTTCTGCTCGCTGGAACTGGTAAGTCGTCTGGCGCGCACGGATCCTCGCGGACGCAGCTCCTTTCAGCTCGAATCTTCAATCGAAAGTCTGCCGACAATGAGCGTCTTAAGCGTTTCGGGATATCTGCAATGTGATCCGCGTGATCTTTTTTTTTTCCTTTTTTTTCAACGCGCTGGCAGCTTCATGAAAAACGATTCCGAGAGACTTGCAGTCGCGATCGGTCGATCGCGCGGCACTTCCTTCGGTATCCTTCGTCATTTTCTCTTTTTCCCTCTTCCTTTGTTCCTTTTCTTCGGTCGCGAGACTGTCTTCACTGACGCAAGACGTCGCATCTTCTTTCAGGTGAACTTCTGGAGCTGCGTGAACTCCACGTTCAACGGTAAGGCGTCTCTGTCGTCGTCGTATTCTGGGCGCGACGGTGTTGCCGATGAATACCGTTTGTTTGTATTCTTATAGATCTCAAGAGAAACGAGAATTGGTTGGGTCGCGGATGTTGCCACCTCGCGCAGAACCCCACGTGTCGCACGACCTGCGCCCTGTCGGGCTCCAGGAGCGACCTGGCCCAGTACTGCCGGCCGAGCGACGAACCCGAGTTCTTCTTCTGCCTGGAGAAACGCGAGGATGCCGAGCGATGTTGCAGCAACGTCTCCAACGACACCTGCAGGTCCATCTGCAAGGACCTCTTCTACAAGACGGGCAAGCAGTCCAGCCTGAAGCTGTACAGCAGCATGGGTTGCTTCCATCAGGTTCCCAAGTGCCTGAAGAGCGTCGCTGATGTGAAGCACGCCGAGGATCCGAAGCAACGTTAGTTTGATTTCGGTATCTCGCAGGACATTTACGCAGGGCAGGCGTGAGAACGAGCGTGCGGCGAAAATAATGTTCATTCAGTGGAACAGTTGGACAATTTACAACAATATTTGCATAAATTGTCCACAATTATTTACAAAAACTCTCTTACATTACAACAAGTACGCTGCACTCGCGATTCTTCTCAGTGTGTGTAAAACACCACTGAACATTAAAAATAATACAATACTTCGTGTTCTCATTTTCTCACTTTCTCTTCCTCTATTGCTCTATCGTTGATAATTATCGCTTAATAATTTTCTCTCTCCTGTCATTTTTGTTCCTTTATACTTCGTTTATCTTTGTTTGCTTTTACTTTCTTCTTGCTCGTGTTCTCAGATCGTTTTATTTTCTCTATTGTATTATCAATAATTGTATCGTTAATAATTTTCTCTCTGCTGTTATTTTTGTTTTTCTATACGTTCGTGTTTTTTTTTACCTTCGTTTTTTCTCCCTTTCTTTTCTTTTATCACGTGTTTTCAGATCGTTTTCTCTTTCTCTATTGCGTTGTTAATAATCGTATCATCAATTGTTTCCTCTCTCCTGTTATTTTTGCTCTTCTATACTTCGCATTTCTTTCTTCTCCTTTTCATTTATTTTTCTTTCGTATACGACTTTTCGTCAAGTCAAGTACATATCGTAACAACAGCAAGACAACAATAACAATATTTCTTAATCGACCCTACTGCTTGCGATAGCAAATGATACATATGAACGAATGATCGATAACGCGCGTACATTCAGTAAGTTCCGTCTTGCGCAGATCTGCACTGTTGCGACGAAGCGTCGACGCCATTGTGCTTAGACACGTGCCGGAAGATCCTGCACACCGCGACCACCGACCAGGAGATCATGGACGCCCTGACGGAAAGCTGCAGCCCCGTTTTCCCGCAGTTGCCCATGTGGAGCTGCCTGTTGAAGTCCGACTCGTCGAAGCCCGCGCGTTTACCGTTAGACGCCGGCAAGCTGGCGTGCTGCACGAAAGCGGTGAGCTCGTCTTGCCAGAATTTATGCTGGCGCGCCTTCCAGGCCGACTGGGAGTCCGCCTGGCCACAGTTGGACGCTACATGTCTCTCGTCCAGCTTGGAAGGCGAGCTCAGGAGATGCCTCGAGGACGCGGATGATCCTTGCGAGATGGGCTGTTCCGGCTTGTCGTATTGCGCGCGATTCAACGACAGACCCACTACACTCTTCAGGTACGATGCTCCGAATAGACAAGGAGACCTGGTCGCATCGACACAGCCTGAAACTCAGACTGCTTTGCTTCATCAGGTTTGGTTTCATCAAGTCGCGATCGAGTCGCGAGCGCGACGTCGACGTGACTTAGGAGCAGGTTTTCACTCTCATCTCTGTCGCGATATAACCACGGTAAGATATTATTTTCTTTCTAGAACGTGCACGACCACGGCTGACGAGGCTGCGAAATGGGAAGCTGATCATTGGTCCCAAGGTGGCATCATTCGCGGATTAGGTGTGCCGGTGCGAGCCGCCGCTTCCTGCCCAGCGGAGACCCTGCGCACAGCCGCTTGTCTTCTGCAGCTGCGACCTTGCGAGAGCAGGATTCACGAGACGCGACTTTGTCGCGAAGACTGCCTGGAGTTGATGGCCAGCTGCGTGGACTGGAGCGCGATCGACGGGCCCCACACCGCAGCTACTCTGTGCGCCAAGCTGTCGCCAGGTAGACCAGACGCACCGTGCGTCTCGTTGGGGCCGTTCCTGAGGAGTCCGCAGGACGTCGACGACGACGGGAACGTCCTCGAGTCCGCTATGCTTCCCGAGGAGGACATCACGACTCCCTGCAAGCCGAATCCGTGCTCGCCGGGTCACCTCTGCATGCTCCAGCCGAACAGCGTCAAGGTGTACCGCTGTCTACCGGCCTGCTCGCTGGGGGAGATGTCGAAGCAGCTGGTGCCGGTCGGTACCTGGATCCAAGTGCCACGATTCGATCAGCACGGCTGCCTGAATGTCTGCCAATGCACAAACCGCGGCCTGGAGAAGTGCCGGGTCCTCAATTGCTTCAACTTCAAGTCCTGCTGGGTGCACGACCGGTTTATCGCGCACAAGGCCAGCTTCTACCTCGAGTGTAACCCTTGCCACTGCTTCGAGGGCGAGTTCACGTGCTCCAAGAGAAACTGCGGCGAGCCACGCGCGCCGTCTCTACCCTGCGACTGTTCAGCCCACTACGTCCCCGTCTGCAGCAGACTGGGCGTGACCTTCGCGTCCGCCTGCTTGGCCAAGTGCGCCGAGTTGTCGGCGACGGATGTGGAATTTGGCAGCTGCTCCAGCAGGGACCCCTGCGCGTCCAATCCCTGCGGCAGCGCGGAGAAGTGCGTCCGTAGACCTCGAGTCTGTTTGTCGCGTCTGCACAAGCCCTGCCGGCAGTACGAGTGCGCGCCGATGGATTGTAACCCGCGTGACGAGTCCAGCGGGCCCGTCTGCGACCAGGAGGACCGCCAGTACCCTTCCGTCTGCGCGATGATCCGGGCCGGCTCTAGTCTGAGCTACAGAGGACCTTGCTTGAGAGGCTGCAGTCTTCGGGGTCCGGTGTGTGGCGTCAACGGCGAGATGTACGCCAACGAGTGCGCTGCATGGGCCGAGAGAGTCGTCGTGGACTACCAGGGTCCCTGCGTCGCCGTCGGCCTCATCGGGGACGCGATGAAGCCTCGCTGCGGTGACATCGTCCAGTGTCCCCCATTGGCGGAGCCGTATTGCATCGGGGTCACCCCTCCTGGCGCTTGCTGTCCCGTTTGCGGAGGCGCCGCGAGGCTGATCTACTCCAAGAAGCAGGTACAGGTGTCCTCGGGAGCTTTCGAAAGACGACTCGCGACTTCGCGAGAACGCGACTTTGGCGAGAAATTTCATGTTTCTGCGTTGGCGAGAAGTTTCCGTTCAATATCGTGTCGCGTTGTAAAAATTTCTCCCCAAATCTCTGCGATTCTTCAAGAACTGGAGGATCCGTAACCAGTAACCAGTTTCTATGTGTATATCATAATTTTCGTTGAAAGAATGCCCGAGAAATTCAAGTCCCCCTTTTCTGGACGTTCAAGAGAACAATTACAAGTAACTTCGAAATAATTACACGTCCTCCTCCTTTCCTCGAATCGTAGTTGGATCGGATTTACTACATGATGGACGAAGAAGCCGACAAGGACTCCGTCACTCTGGAGGTCCTTCTGACCGCTTTGGCTCGTCAGCTGCGCGTGGCGCAGTGCGCCGTTCGCGGTATGCTGACTCCCGACCTCGACGTCTTCATCATCGTGCAGCCGGTCACCAAGAAGCCGTCGGCGCTGCAGCTGCGAGCCTGCGTCACGGAGACGGAGAAGCTGGTCACCAGGATCTCGGAGAGGAGTTCCAGAATCGCGGCGGAGATCCCGCTAGGCTCGCTGACCCGCGCCGAGGTGGCTCACAACTACGTTTCGAGTGCCATGACAATTCGGGGCTGGCTCGCGACCGTTGCCGTCACGAGCGTCGTTCTCGTGTTGAACGTTCTGTCCTAAGCGCTATTACGACGACAAGAGAACACGAGGCACGTCGTTTATGCCGTGTCTCGAGATCAGGACGCGTTTTGTTCGATTTGTGCGCGTTCACCATCGCAATATCTTGGCTCCGGGGTCGTCTGAGAGTCCGCAGTCATAAGCGACGTGCCTCGCTCTTTCTCTCGTTCTTCCTCGACGTTAACAGCGTCCCTTTACCTAATCGCGATGCCATTCGCGACGGCGAATGGTCTGTAGCGTGTCTCGTGTCTGTGATTCTTCTAGTGCCTCCGTAATATATACAGCAGTATAAGATTATATATATATATATTTTTTAATTACCGACTCATATTGCCAAAGAGAGAGAGAGAGAGAGAGAGAGAGAGAAGAGAAGTGTATAGCGCGAGGAAGAGATGTACAAAGGTGTGGAAGGTTCATCGAGCGCGCACGGATACGTCGTGAACACATGCTCATTGTAAGTTGTAAATAAATAAGGCGTCGTAAACTTATAAGTTACCAGTTCGCAGATATCGTGACATATATCGTGGTATATCGTGTGCCGCAGATGTAACTTTTACACAGCGCGTCCTTCTGAAAAATGGACAGAGCTCTCGAAGCGAGGCGAGTTTTAAATTTCCCAACAGCTCGGCAACAGCCCAACAGCATCAATTTTAGCCTCGCGACAGCGAAAATCGATACGGAACTCTGCTAATAAAAAGGAGAGAAAAAAGTAAGAACCGCGGGGAGTAACTCGCGTGTGCGAGCGAAATTTCTCCAGGAACGCGCTGTGTAGGTACGGTTTTACACTGCTGAGCGTTCCGAATGTTGTTCTCTCATGCCGCGAATAAATAAGTTAATTTGTGGTAAGATACTCGTCGGGGGGAGGGAGGGGGGGGGCGGGAGGGAGTGCTCGTTAAAGTAAGGATTAAGGGAACGACGGTCCTCGCACTTTTATTATTTATAAACATGCGGAAATTTGGATCGCTTGCAGTGGTTCGTGCCAATGATACTGAAGATAATGCTCCCATAGATGTTAAGTGTATCTTGTTATTGTGCTGTTTAATACAAACTCTTGGTACCGTCAGTTGTATGTATAATAAAATTTTCCAACTTTTTTATTATACATAAATTCGAGTGTGATTCCGATGTACACGCGCGTTGGCGGGTACACTTGAACGGGTGATCAGAGAAAAGAGAACTTTGCAAGATGAGAACCTTATAAAAGCACTTTATAAGACTTTGTATCGACCGCGCGACGCGGTGTGGGCGCCGGACGCCTGCAGCTTGATAAGTTCTTCCTTGATCAGCCGCGAGACCTCCGCTTTGGCCTTACTGACCGCCAATTCGCTCGTCGATTCTATAGCCAGGTAGAGCTTCCTCTCACCCTCTGGCGGTGCTTTCCCAGGCGCGATGTACGTTCCTCTGACCGTCAGGCCCGCTTCGGAATATTCCGAAATTTGGGCCAACGCCTCTTTACTCGTGACTCGCCATCTCGCTTGTTGCGGGAAGTCGTTGATCTCGAGCTCCTCCTCGTACTTACGGAATGTCTGTTCGCCCGTTTCCGCATCGCTCTCCACGAGATCTTCCTCGCGCGGTTGATAATTCAGCTTAGTATTCAACTTCGCCGCCAATTGTTCCGCGACTGTCTTTGCCTGCGGAGGAGAGAAAGACAATTGTCGTTTGTTAGGAGAAAGATCTTGAGAAAATTATAAAGGCAAATTCATAAATTACAAGACTTGTGAATTATAAAGTTTATAAGATGATATACTTCCTTCTCAGGATTACAATTGCTGCAAGACTATTCTCTCTTTCTAGTAATAAGAACTCAACGGGTACTTACCGTAATAAGATTCGTAGGTCCTGCGCCTTTAAGTATAGCTTCCGCAGCTTGCTGGGTGGCGCCTTTTGCCTCGGCGCCTAGATTTTTCGCAATGTTTATCTTGGACGCCAATCTTCTGGCTAATTCGAGCTTGTCGGTGGCACTGGGTATCGGCTGACCCGGCACCGTAATATTGGTCGCGGATGGTCTGGCTATTTCGCGAACCGTGCGCTTAGGCGCCAGCATACTCTCAATCTGTTGATCAATGTCGTTTTCTATGTCCTCGTCGTCGGAGTCCTGCAGGCCCAGAGCTGCTTTCTGGAATTTCTTCTTTTCGTTCGCCAGAGCGGCCTCCGACTCATCGAATTTGAAGCCTTTGCCGCTGAAACCGCCACCGGTGTGCACCTTCTTCCCGTCCGCGGCTTGTCGCGCTTTGTAACCCTCCCACAACTGGCGCAACGGTTCCGGGACAAGTACACCCGCTAATTCGTGCGCACGTAGGATATCACCGGCGTAGCGTTCCTGCTCCGACGTGATAAAAGTGTACGCGTATCTGGGAAAAAAAAGAGGGAAGAAAAAAAATTGTCACTTGTACGTTAGAATTAACGGAGACGGTGACAGATGTTTCTGGCATTATTATCAAGGCACAAAGGGCCTTGCTTACCCTTTATTTCCGGCTCTACCGGTTCTACCACATCTGTGCACGTAATCCTCGTAATGATTAGGACAATCGTAATTGACCACCAGTACCAAGTGCTTAACATCTAGACCTCTAGCGGCGACAGATGTGGCCACCAACAACTTCGTCCGTCCGGCTTTGAAATCCAATATAGTAGAGTCTCTGTCACACTGGTCGATACCACCGTGAAGAGACATGCAGGAGTATGAAGCCTTCATTAGATCTTTCAATAACGTGTCTGCATTCTCCTGCTTGTCTACAAATATAATGGCCGAACCTTTGTCTTGGTAATGGCCGAGAATTTCCAGCAACTTGTAAAACTTCTGGTCCTCCTCGAGAACGACCACGTGCTGCTCGACATCTTTGCAGACGACGGAACGCCCTCCGACCTGCACTTCCACCGGTCTGGTGAGTATTCTTCTGGCCAGTGCCTCCATTTGTCGCGGGAATGTCGCGCTGAACAACACCGTCTGCCGATCCGGTCTTACGTTCTCCATGATGCGCATTACCTGAGGTTCGAAACCCATATCGAACATCCTGTCAGCCTCGTCGAGTACCACGTATGTCACTCGACGCAAATTGGTCACACGACCACTGTTGGCCGCGAGCATGTCGATCATTCTTCCCGGTGTGCACACGATGATCTCCGCGCCTCTCTTCAGCTCTGCTATTTGCTCGGATATACCGGTCCCACCGTAAACGCACACGTGTGACAAGCCTAACGACTTGGTGAATTTTTTCGAATCCCTACCGATTTGCATGCACAATTCCCTGGTGGGCGTCATGATTAATGCGATTGGCCCGTCACCGTCAGCCAACGGCGGTTGGTCTAGTATGTGTCGGAACATTGGTAATAGGAAGGCCAATGTTTTCCCACTACCTGTTTTCGCTATACCGATGAGATCACGGCCGGACATAATTGCCGGGATTGCTTGACACTGAATAGGTGTAGGTTTCTCATAGCCAAGTTTCTTCAACACCTCCAATTCCTTCTTGGTTACACCGCACTGCGCCCACGATTTAATAGGCTTCGGACAACCTTTACCTTTCACACGAATGCCTTCCAGCTCCTCTTTATATATCTCCACTTCTTCTGGCGTCATTCTTGCTGTAAAAATGTAAAAATAAATAAAACTGTAAATGCTCATTCATGTAGTAAAAAATATAGTTTATCATCTAAAGAAATGCACAAAGACATACCAATTTCAGGAACTTCAACGTAGAAAGACTTTCGGAACGGTTGGTAGTCCGTCGTTGCGTGGTCAACTTTGGCTAACTCCCGCTTCTGCTTGTTTGCTATACCAGCTGCGGTCTCATGAAGATTTTCGCCCTCTTCTTCGCTAGAATACTCCAAACCATCTTGATTTTGTTCAATCAATTCTCCCTTCTGTTTCTGAATTTTCTTTTTGGCTACACCAGTCACTATAACAACACCACCACTCTGTGTCGCAGAACTCGTACCATTGTTAGCATTTTTCGGAGCTTTATTATCGAGTTTGTTCACCTTTCTGACTTCTTCTTGCACCTGTTAATTACACGTGATGTTAAGTAAGTAAAGAGGATCCATCCCTAAATGCTAATTATGGGATTACTCACCTCTGCCATAAAAGCATCCAGCGGATCAACTTCTTCTTCTTCATCTTTCACTTCCTCCTTTACTTCCTCAACTTCCTCTTTTACACCCTCTTCTTTCGCCTCTTTTGTGTTATTCTGTACCACAGGAGTCTCCTCATCACTATCATCCTCAAGGGACCACTTTTTCATGGGTAGCTGAAGATTTGCCAAAATAGATGCCTTACCGTCTTTTTTGGTCGCTTCCAGCTCTTTCTTCTTCCGCTCTGCTCGCCATCTTTCTATTCTCTCCCTCCTCTTTTGCATTTCCAACTCAAGCCTTTTTTGCTCCTCCTCCTGCAAGGATAATTAACATGAGTTTTACTCATCTTTTTTTACATTAAATTCTACTCGCTGAAAACTCACCTTGTCCAATTTTGTATGATCAAAAGGTAATTCTTCATTGTCACCCTTCTCTTTATCCTTTCTTTCACGTGACCGAGACCTGTTTGATCGTTCTTTGCCAGAGCGCGAAGACTTTGAGCCTGTAAGACGCTTTTCTTTACTGTCTCCACTAGTACACCGAAAACAATCAATGTCAATATATTACTTTATCATTATGATCATCGGCAACAACATTTTCAATATTTGTGACTAAAGATGAAAGTATAAGAGACATAAACTAGATGAACAAATGTTTTTTACAGAAAAATATTGAAGCTTCTTTGAAGAATGTTACCGTTTTCTCTCGCGATCCCTGTCCCGTTCGGAACGATCTCTCCTATCTCTGTCTCTATCTCGCGAACGACTTCTACGTTCCCTATGTCGACCCTTGTCCCTGTCCCGCTCACGATCTCTGCTTCTAGATCGCCGCCGTTTCTTTTCCGGCTCGGCCGATCGAGATCTCGATCGCGATCTGGACCTTCGTCGATGATGCCTGTCCCTGTGCAAGCAATTATTCACAATAATTAAATGGAACATTCGAAATCCCCACGGTGTCGCACAATTTCACAATTTAACCTCAAAATATAGAATGCAATAAGTTTTACTTACTTGTCACTACTACGAACCATACTTGATATGATACTCCTGTTAATTAAATATTTAGTACATTAATAAAGCACACAAGCATAGTTAATCACACCATGGACTACCGCCTCAGCTTCTTATCTTATTTTTTTTTAGAGCAATGTAGAGAAAAGTGCCCTCTATACCATACTAGTCCTCTCATACTTACAAACACACCCTACCATTTTAGCGATTGAATCTACCGACATTTACAATAAGATAAATATACATGATTTGACTCTTCAAATTTTATTTTCAGTTTTGCATCGTGCAGCTATATAGGTTATCAAAGTTACTTCATGTGCATATATTTCTTCTTTACTTTTTTCGATAAAAAAATCTTTAAAACCCCTTCTCGTTAAGACACCATAATATGACGCCAGTCAGCCCGTTTTACAGCGAATCAGAGAAAAGCTTGAGAGCGGCAATTCCGTAAGATTTATAGGGGATGCATTTTCCAACCAGTGATGAAAATTCGGTAACGGGATTGCCAGAGAATTTCCCCCACCACGCACGTACACTCTGCCGGCTCGGCCTATCCGTGTGAGCCGCGCGTTCGGCCTGTTACACGGATACCGACCGAGCCGGCTGGTGCGCGCGTGGTGGGAGAAATTCTTTGGTAAGCTCGTCACCGAATTCCTATCACTGTTTCCGACGTGCTCTATGCCAAAGTGCGTGTAATGCCTGTTTCTATCAATTGTGGTTACTTTTAGGCCTGGTTTACAATACGTGTTATAAGCTGTAAGCCGTAAGAACTAACCAATTATAGCCGATTTTTTGTAGTAATATTTTTGTAATAATCGACTGTGATTCGCCAATTCTTACAGCTTACAACTTACGACACGTATTGTAGACCAGGCCTTAATCAGATGGTTATTCTATTCGGAATTGACCAATCGCGTTTGTCAATTCTAATCAACAACGAGATTGGTCAATTCCTCTGGAATAAAGCAAAGATAAATTAACCAAGATAGGTAAAATGGACATAAATTATGGCATAGATATTTTTTTCCGCAGATATCATATTTCTTTCGGCCAAAATTTTTGGCCCTTTCTTTGCATTATTTCCAAGGTCGGCATAATATCGAATTTTGCAATTAGGGTCTTCAAAATAATAAATAATATGGATTTCTTTAAACACGTTCCATATGTTTCTACGGACGGTTATCCTGATTATAAATTATCCTAATTATAAAGTGATTTTTTTCTGTATTTTGATCAACAAACGGGAAACGCCTTTGCTTATTTTGAGGGTCTTTAGAAGAGATCTTTGTAGTCCTTTAAGTTAATATTACATATGTCGTATTACATGGCTTATCGGATGTTCCGATTGGCTATCAGAAAAGTTTTAAAGTACCTAATTTTTTCTCTAGACACCCTAGAAATTTTCTATCTGACAGCCAATCGCTTGTCGATCGTCTGGACTGGACTGGATTATGCGGTTAGGTTGGAAGTCTAGGGAGGTTTTGGGAATCGTTTGTTACACAAAATCTCCGCTACGGGTCGCCACTTTATCCTTACCAGCAACTTATGTCGTACTACGACTCAACGGCAAATTAATCCAAGCTTATTTTCAAACATGACAGTTTATACATATAGGACTTTTTTGTTATTAGTACAACTAATTTTATTGTCAGTACAACTAGATGTTTTCTTTTCCTTATTTTCTCTTAAGTGAGTAAGCGCCATTGAATATTATTAATGACCTAGTTAACACCTAGTAAACATAGTGATTTACTACATCAAGATTTTGTTACATTAATGCTATGTCAATGTTGTTTTACAAGAATATTATTATATTGTATCAAGAATATTATACCATTATATCATATCAATGTTTATATATTATCTGTTCAATAATATAAGCATTTTAGTCAATATATTGCATTTATATTGTTGAACAAGAAATTTATATAATATTATTAATATTGTAATTATATTGTATAATTAATATTGTATTATAAATTAATTACAATATTGATGCAATATTACATTTAATGTTTACTGAACTTATCACCGAGCAATAATTTATTGAATATTAAATATTTATAAAGAAGCCTTAAATATTTATAGTATAAAAACTGAAAAATTATTTTCAACTTTTTTGCAGTTTACGGTGTTAATCTCTCTATATAATCTGCAATTTTGCACTAAGTCAATTAGTTTTCGCTGTACAAAATTAGCGTGAACATCATTTGGCAGTGTAATAATTTGTTTTTACAAAAGGCATTTTGGTTACAGTGGCCTTGTAGGTTTTTCCTCGGACCTCGATCAACACACCGCCTCCAAATTGCGCTAAATCCGACGGTACATATCCCATGGCGATCGGCCGACCCAAAGTCGGACTTGGTCCACCGGAAGTCACTTTGCCCACTCGTTCACCTTCCGGCGTCAATATAGGCGCACCTTGCCTGGCAGGTGGACCTTGACCCAATAGAAGCCCGACTCGTTTCTCCGCGGCGCCTGTTTTGATCTGCGACAGTATTCGCTGCGCACCTGGGAAGTTGGCCTCGACTCTTCGTCGTTTTGCTGCGGGTGATGGACGGAAGATGTTTTGTAAGTTATTACAGTTATTCGACGAAGATAACAATGTTATATAATTCGTCGCGCAGGATAGGAATTAAATGAGTGATTAAACGCGAACTTCGACGAAGACTTCTCTGTTTCAAAACGGTCGTGCGATAAGTGACTCTTATCGTTTCAAAATTTCTTAAAGGTCTCCGCGAGGAGGTCACTGACCTATTAACCACGTGAGGGCAGCTTCGACTGGCGTGGTATCCGCGTTCATGTCGTTTCCATACAAACAAAGTCCAGCTTCGAGCCTGAGAAAATTGGTCAGACAATTGGCAGAATTCCACCGCGAAATCTATTCACTTACCTCAAACTATCTCTCGCTCCCAGGCCAGCTAGTTTTACATGGGAAATCTCCAGGATCCTCTCGACCAGATTAACAGCGTCTTTCGCGAGTACTGAGATCTCGAAGCCATCCTCACCGGTGTATCCGCATCGCGAAATCCTTACCTGGCTGCCGGCTACCTCAGTCTTTACGCTGTTCATGAACTTCAAAGTTTGAAGATCGATCTTTACCAAGGATTGCAGAGCAGCGGCTGCTGTGGGACCTTGGAGAGCCACTAGACCTTGCTGCAGAGGGTCCAGAAAGTCTATGCGTACGTTTTTGCCAGTTCTCTTGAAGTCTTCCTATAAGCAAGAATCGTTCGTTGCGCTTGTCGCTTGTCGTTGAAACATTTGAAATATACACCCTCTCACTTGACGTTCTAGGAGAAGCTGACTATCTTCGTTTCGTCTTGCCGCGTTCGACACGACAAAGTATTTGTCTTCGTCGTCTTTCGTGACGATTAGATCGTCGAGAATTCCACCCATGTCGTTAGTGAAGACCGTCAGAGTTGCGGCGCCATTCTTTAAGTTCTTCAGATCGCACGTGGTCAACGATTCCAAGTACTCTCCGGCGTCTTTGCCGATGATATGCGTCTGCATCATGTGTCCGACGTCAAAGAGCGACGCATACGATCTGGTGTGTTGATGCGACGCGGCGATCGCCTCTCGATATTGCACCGGCAACAGCCATCCAGCGAAATTAACGACTTTTCCTGGACATTTGCAAAGTCAGGTAAGATTAAATAATTATCTCTCTCCTTCGCTCTTAAACATATATACGGCATATGTATATATCGCTCGAATATTTTTCTATTAAAATATGTAACAAAACATCATCGTCCTTTTCGCAAAAGTTGAGAGGTTTGGACAAAATGAAATGCTTGTAATGTTGCCTCGCTTTGTCACACTCTGTCTCATTGTGGTTGTCTCCATTCAGACTTTTATGTAACTCACAAAGTTGACGCGATAAAAGCAGACACATTTTGTGTCTGCTTATCTCGTGGAGTATCGACAGCACTAAAATTTTCAGGAATAAATGGTAAAATAGATGTTCTCTTGTAAAAGGTCAAGACATAGACAACATAGACAAGATAACGTCGCTATATGTGCGAGAATTCTCGAAGCGATTCAAAATCTTACACTGTTTACAGGATAAAGTTCGTTCATAATTCATTCAATAACATTTTTCTGGCGTTTCCGCAGACAGAAAAATATTGGGTTGGCAACTAAGTGATTGCGGATTTTAAATAAGAATGAAAATTCAAAATTTTAAATTTGCTTTTTTAAATTTTTTTCAATGCATGTATGCGATACATTGAGCTTCTCCGCAATATATAATAAAGCACGTGTTGTGCTATGACGATCTGAATCGATAATGGCCTTGATATGGGTCTCATCGACTTCAACTGGACGGCCAGATCGTTGAGCATTTTTCAATGAAAAATCACCAGAACGAAATCTGGCAAACCAATTTTGACACTGCCTTTCTTTCAAGGCTTCATTCCCATATACGGCACATAACTTCTTGTGTGCTTGCGATGCGTTCTTGCCTTTTCGGAAATGATACAATAAAATATGTCTGAAGTGCACGTCTTGCTCTTCCATTTTTAAATTCGGATAAAAACAAAACTAAACAACTAATCGATATAATTTTTGTACTAAATGAAAGGTAGAAGTCCAAACAATAAGAAAAAATATAGATTAGGTACTTTGAACACGTTAACGAAACAAAAGAAAGTGTAAAATCCATCTGTCGACAAAATCCGCAATCACTTAGTTGCCAACCCAATATAATAAATATAATACATGGCTTCGTACATTCCGGATCCGTCTGATCCAACACGAATAATTTAACCAGAACTGAATAATCGCTCACCTTGTTTTTCCACATGAAGGTCATACAGACAGGTTTTCCGGACCTCGTTGACGCCCGACGTCGACGACGACAGTTGGCAACTTTGCGTCTGAATCGCGTTGGCGGTTGCACTAGGTACCGCGGAATCGATCAAACAATTCAAACGCGATGTCGAAGCGTGTTTTTGTTTGACCCTTGACCTTAAGGCGATACTGCAGGTATCGCGTACGTTTCCCGTTGCGTCCAGACATTTTTCTAGATTACCGCAGATGACGAATCTGCCTTGGACGCCGAAACGAAGCATGATGTTTCTTTCTCGGTGCTCTATCGTTAACTAATCAACGCGATTCGATAACAAGCGTCTTCGTTCGGAATGCCGATGACCCAGCGCGAGCGTTTATCTTCCTTCAGACTCGGATACAACGACGAGGAAATCAACCTCAACAATTCAATGAACACGCATAAATACCAATCGTGCTGTTGTCCCGTTTAAAACAAAAATTATACATGATATTCAGTCGTAGGATAATGGTGCAACGTATAAAGGACACGCGATTATCGCGTATATGATGTTGATCCACGCTTAGAATCATCATTAGCTTCGTTTTCTCTCGATCGAGTAATATTCGCGCAATTAATGAGGTAATGAGAAAGTGCTCGGGAAAGCGAATTACAGGCGAATTAATCGGTCAATAATACAAATATTATCCTTTAATATCGATCTCAGCCTTTCGGAGTATCGTGTCAGGCATAATGATTCGAAAGACGATCGTAACAGATAGACTTGAGTCTACAGGTCGGTTTTTTCATCGCTGAATCGGTGTACACTCACGGAACTTAAAGAGAAACAGATACACAGTTGAGAGTTGGTGGGAAAGAAAGAAAAGAGGAGAATCAGTGCGAGTCAATGTAGCCAATTCAGCAATAGTAAACAAACCTTATGTGCGACTTTGAGAATAATCGAGAGTTCGAAAAAATTCGAACAACGCGACGGCAACTTCACGCCGTGATGACGTAGCTCTCACGTAGTTTCATTCGTGTCGTGACACGCAAAGGACACGCGGCGTAAAACCGACCGGCGCGATCATTGTGTGTCTCGTTTCGTTTATTCGTGAGAACTCTAGAATCGCGACTAGCTCCGTCTTTCCTAATATCGATTAATACTCGCGTATTAATTAATGAGGTAACGAGTGAGAGTTCGGTGGAGTGAATAATAAGTGAGTGACTGTAGCGACAAGTGACGGACTCGACGCGGCAACCGGAGGGAAGATGCTGGATATCAACGACGAATCGGTCAGTAATACAAGTGTTATTCTATATGATCTCGGCTTTCCGAAATATCGTTACATTATTAACACTATGCAGCCGAAAAGTCGGGATACAGCGGGGTGCGCGTCGTGATGCGAACGACGATCCTAACGTATTGAGATTGAGGCTATGTGCGATACAGAGAGCACGATATATTCAAAGTACGCGGCGACAACTTCGTGCCGCTGGCCGCACCGTAATCTAACCCAACCTAACCTTTCAATGCGTCGATCGTTCGTTTGTTTTTTTACTACGAATCGTTACGTGTCGTTATTAAATATGATTAGAACGCCTCTTACACATTTTTATTGAAATTTAATTAATATTGAGTCATGTATAAATTATGTAAATGTATAAAAAATAGAGATCTTTAATTTTTCAAGTCTGTAATCTGTCGTTGGTAAATAGACTACAATTTATGCGCATATGCAACATTTTTCACACTTCTGCATTCGATTAAGAAACTCTTCTAGAGGCAGAATATTAGGGATTTCAAGCGGATTAACATCGAGATATAACCTTGGGCAAGAAATTTAATTTGCTAAGACTCAAAAACTTGGAATTTTTCTGCGAATTCAACATACAGTGATTAGCGGCAAAATGATTCGAGTCTTTGTGTTATGTGTTAAAAAAGAAACAAAAAAAAATATATATATATATATAAAAGATGTATATAAGATGAATTTATAAATGTATAAAAATGTCTATCATATTGTCTTATATATCCATTTATAAATTATATGGTATATAATGTACAAATGAATTCTTTATAAAGTATAGTTTATTGTATGTGTTAAAAATTGAACGTGTTACAGTTGAAACAAAAATGAGTTCACTACTCTCACTTACGGTCTCTTACGTGGGAAAGATAGCCGTCCCTGTACGTTGAATATAGACTCGATATCGCTACCCTTTGAGATAAACTTCTGTTTTCTTTTAATGCAATTTATTATCTATGTGCGTCATGGGCGCTGCTAAAAAGGAATCGTTATCGATAATCGTACAATAATTATGGGGAATTGGTTGGTAATCACAAGACTTGGAATATTTATTAAATTTTTATTGTACCACGTAATAATAATAATAATAATATTAATAATAATAATAATAATCATGATCATCATCGCAATAATAAATTGTGATAATAATGACAATAATAAATGGTAGTAATAATAATAATAATCATTTATCATCGTAATAATAATAGTTCCGTAATAATAATAATCATAATAATGATACTTTATCGTCGTCGGTAATAATTCAATGACAAATGTCAATATTTTATATAGTAGCGTGTCGAACGGAGAAACGACCTTAAAAAACGAAGACAGTATCAATGTTCGTTCGTACATTTTGTTTTTTAGCTTCCGCCGTTTTTTTTATCTTCTCGCTCACTCTCTTTAGGATTTCTTCTACCTTTCGCTCTCGCATCTTCCACACGCGCATTCTCACTCGACTTCGCTTCCTTTTATTTATCTTTTTTTTTTTTTACTTTTAATCTCCCCTTTTCTCTCACACACACGCACACTTTCTCCCTCTGTCTCGTGTCTTACACAATTGATGCAAAATGTCCCTACACAGTCCGACGAATGTGTGTGTGTGTACTTTTTCCCGGTTATTCTCTTTAATCAATCCTCACGATCGCATTTTGCTCGACGCTTTCCACTTTTTTTCCACCTTTCCTCCATAAAATTCTAAACTGCTTTTTTTTCTTTTAAATCCTTGCACGTGTTGACACATTCACTCACACTGGTAAAGTGGTTTGGTAGTGAAGGGACCGGGGAGGAGATGGGTTGGATGTGTGAGGGGGAGGGGGGTGTTCGATGGCGGTGGAGTGGTTAGGGTGGGAACGGGATATATCCGCGGGGTTTGTACCGCACATGAGGATGCTGTTGTAATTAGGCGGGTGTTTGCAGGGTGTGGGTAGGGGGAGGGGGCGCAATACTGGTGAGAAAAACGGATACGTCGCGGTGAAAAAAAAAAAGAAAAAAAGAAATAAGCGACAGCGACGTCGCGAACAGGTCCGTCGATCAACGGCAATCCCCCGCTGACTTCTCTCTAGGATGTTCAAAATCGCCGAGGAATTTCGCCGCCGACCGAACGGCCGTCGTCGGCGACGCCGGTATCGCCATGAGCGTCGGGTAATCTATTAACGATCGATCTACGATCGCGATATACGAGAGAACTGAAATTGCGATCTGTGCGCGACAGAGAAAGTATACAACTATATTGCCTCGTGTTCTCCGCGATTTTTGTTTCCGCTGCTCCGACATGGTTTCGCCAAAAATCTGGTTGTCCGAAATTTTGTCTTATGAATTTCTTTTCTTTTGCTTCTTTTTGCCTATTTTGACCTGTACTATTACTGCCCGAGCTACTTCTGCCTCCTATCGCCTCGCCTCCTCTCCGCGAGTCCCCGAGCGCGCCGATCTGCCGGCAAAAATTTTCCCAAATCTGGGCCCGTCCCCGTACCGGGTCGGACCCGAGGCACTCGTTCTGGTTGTCCGAAAGTTGCGCGAAGTCGCGATCGCGTGTCGATCCGGCAGGATCATCGCGCCGGGGAACGCGCTCGCACGTCTCGTACGTATTACGTGTGTTGGTTCATGTATGTACGTACATACGAACATACATACATACATATATGTATATTTTTATATATAGATATATATTCGGCTATTTGCATTCTTCTTTTGGTCCTGGTATAAAGGAAACGAGAATCATTCGGATTGTAATTTCGTTCGTTCTTTCTCTCTTCGGAAGAATCGCGGTTTCGAAAAATGGAAAATAGTCGCCCGTGACTTAATTTAGAAAAGTTCCCAAAAGTTCGCGATCTCGAAAAAAATCACCTTTGACTCGCGTTTTTCACTGCTCTCGCGTCTCTCATTATGGCCGTGACTCGGTTTTGAACTATTGACTTTACTGGAGGGGAGGGGGATTCTGTTTTGTTGCCTGTCGACATGCAATGTGCAATCACCATCGAGAAATTCTCTCTCTCACTCTCTCTCTCTCTCTCTCTCTTTCTCACTTTCACTCTCTCTTTCTTTCTTTCTCACGCTCTCTCTTACTCCCTTGCGCTCTTTCTCACTTACGCTCCCTATATGTATACCTCGAGTTCGATAATTTCGTCTAAAATTCCATTTTTGCCTTAACTATACACAATAATCATAATATATAATAATAATAATCACGATTCGAATACATCATCGATCATTTTCCGAATATAGATACAATAATTTCTTATTTTTCATCGTCTTTCTACTGCCATGTTCTCTTTCTCTTTCTCTCACTCTTTCTCTCTTTTCCGTTCTTTCTCTCTTTCTCTCTCTCCCGTTCTCTCCCTCTCTCTCTCTCACACACTCTCCTTCTCTTTTTCTCTCTCTCTCTCTCTCTCTCTCTCTCTCTTGCAATTACATCTTGCAATAATAATCGTTTAGGTCGTCGTATATCTATACATATACATATACATATACATATATATATATATAATTTATAAAATGAAAATAGGTACAATTTTGGACGCTTTTCTTCGTCGAAAAAACGCTCCGAAAATTTTATTTTCGCTTAATAATGCCCATCGGTTGCGATTTTAGTCCACTTGGTAGTAAAATTTTGTTTATTCTCCTATCTCGCACACATTTACATCCCATTTTCTCGACACACCTTTCTTTCTCTCTTATTCACACTATCTTTCGCTCTCTCCCTGTCACACTGTCATTTTCATTCGCTCGGTTCGCACTCTCACCAACGGATACATTCGTCGATGCATTCTTTCGAACGTTCACTCTGTTTCGCAATTTGTTTCGCTCTCGCAGGCAAACCCTTGCTCTCTCATTCACAAAATTGCAGCGATAGTCGCCCTCGCGATATATATCCGCCTTTCCGCCGCTAATTTCTAAAAAAGACCTTAAATTTAGGCTGGCCGATCGCGTGCTTCCGGAATCGACGAGCTTCCGTTTGCGCTTACGAAGGAACGAATTTCACGATTTGCGAGCGCGTGATTTCGCATAATTTC